GGGTTTTTTTTACAAAAGGGTGAAGAGTTTGGAGAAGGCAAGAAAAGTGAACAATCTGGGACAACATACAGTAGCTGAACTGGAAAGTGAGCTGAATTGGAAATTTTTTCCAAATCAGCTAATTTGGCCTAGATTGTTCACTTCTCCTGCCTTCTCCAAACTCTTCACCCTTTTGTGAATAACCTTGTTACTGTATTTCTGAGGTGTGTAATGTAAAACAAAAGGAGTGTAACCATGTCATGTCTAGTAATGTAGTGACTCACATCATTGTCAACTGTCATGTCAATGGGAAAAGGCAGGGAAAGCCCACTCCAACTACAGGTGAAGCTTTGAAATTGTCTTGGGAAAGAACTGAAAGACCTCTATACGTGAGGAGAACCTTTAGGTCTTTAAGACGCTTGTCCCCAATGTAAAGGCCAATAACAATATAGTGTTCAGGGTGATATGCCTACAAAGGCAAAGAAGCTCTTACAAATGTGGAAATAGGTAGTATATGTTGAGGTCTCCCATGCTTTGAGTAAGGTTTCTACCGCCTCACAGTAAATATAATGTAGGAATCTCTGGTATTCACTCTCTAAGCCATCAAAGACAGCCTGTTGCAATCGGCTGTAGGAAGGGAATGTTATTTGTGTAATGCCGTGATATTAAGATATACTGTACATACAGTATAAGTGTAGGGATGTGGCATTTTTCCTAATTCTCCTATATTTTTGTGATCTATTAGTGTTTATGTAGACTTAGTTCGCTTAGCTGTGCTGCCTAGTATACTCTAAGTGTGCAGTGATTGTTCTCAGTCACATGTTCCACCAAACTAGGCCCCTGGACTTAGGACCTAGGGGTATGGGAAGCAGTGGGGATCTCCTATCCTGGGAGTTGTCCCTAAGGTACTGGCTGCTATGATGGAGTGCTACAGTACAGGCCTTGAGGAAGCACAGCTGCATTTGTCTACCACAGTGGTGAGTGATTGACTGAGTCTGGTAACATCGGAACCTTCTCATTGCTATCCTGCCCTGATGTAATGACTGAGCATACACTAGAACCTCAGTTACAAAGAGCCAAAGTTACTTGTTAGGTGTTCAGCCAGTAAAATTATACAGAAAGCAGGTTTTATAAGATAGAGGACTATAGAGAAGACTAAAGGATTGTGCTTTGATGTTCTTAAAAATGCATAAGCAAAGAATAAAAAAAAAAAAAAAAAAAGTTATCCTGTGCTCCCTCATCCTCCCATTTCTTCTCCATGCATATGCAAATTAAAATACTTAAAATATATTCCAAGTGACTGAAGCTCATCATTCTTATCCACCACTGACCAGAGTTGTAAGTACAGAAGAACATGCCTAGGGACAAGGTTATTCGCAACTGGGGGTTCCGCTTATAAACTACAAGGCCCAGCTGGGTGGAGGCACTGTCATTTAATGAGATATTCAATCCCATACTTCCACTTAGCGGAGGCTCAGGATTTCCAAGGTAGCAGGGG